CGGCTCCTCCTCTGCAAGCGCAGCCCGGGGGGAGCGCTCCCCTCCTCCTGCGGGTCCCCACGCTGTCCCCTCGCTCTGCCCGGCTCCTCTGGGCGATGCCGGCAGCGCCCAGCCCAGGGCAGGGGAGTGCGCCCTTTGCCACCCCGCAGCGGTGACAGCAGCCACCCTGTGGGCTCTGCCCCGGGCGAGGGTGACAGGGTGGTGTAGCTGATGGCCAGGAACGTCCCCAGGCAGAGCAGCTCTCGCTGCTCCTCTCCCTCCTCTTGCACAGCAGAGGAGAAGACCTACGCAGAGGCAGAGCCTCTGGGACTTTTCCAGCATGCCAAGAGCGATCCAAACCCACCCGGGCAGGAGAGAGGGCACACAGGACTCCCCCAGCTATTGCTGGAAGTGTTTCTGGGACACAGCCCTGCTGCAGCTGGGGACAAAGCCAGCGAGCAGTGCCCGCAGCGCTCCTCCACATCAGGTCCTGACCTGCACTGGGGAGCAGGTTCCCCCCGTGACTGCAGACAGGGTTTGGTGTCTGTTAGGGGGTGACCGATGAGCGTAGGGAGGGCTGAACTCCACCGCAGGGCTCTGAACCCCTCTGAGGGTGCTTTTGGTCCTCATCTGGTCCTTGGAGGCTTCACTGTTTAGGGTGGGTTTTGGGAGACCCAGGGTTTCTGCAGCAGCAGCTGCTGCAGGTTCTGGAACCACCAACAGATCTGAACCCCCCCAAAAAAAGCTCAGGAAAGGCTGAATCCAGAGTTTGCATCTAAATCAAAGCCTCCTGAGCACAGGCATTTTTACAGGAGGACAGATACATTACAAGAAAACCATTTGCGACTCATTGAAACATGCTGTTCTGGAGACGGACAAAATGTCCCTAACCTTGAGCAGGTTTTGCAAGCCAAAATCCAGCAAAGATCAAAAGCGTGCCCTTTCCAGCCTCAGCGACGATCCGCGATGAAAGGGAACTCACAGCACAGGACAAATTCCTGCGTCACCCACCCTCAGGAGCAATCCTTCCCCGGGGAATGCTGCAGCAGAAGGAGCTGCCCCACTTATGCCCAAACGCTGATCTCATCGCCCAACCACAGGAGATTGAATTACACCCATTTATGCTGGTAATAGCATCACTTTGCCTGTGATGGCCATGTCATCTCTTGCTAAAGCCCATCTCCTACCGAAAGCCATTTCTGGCCCTCTCGCTCCATGCCCGGAGTCCTGTCGGAGTTCCCTCCTCCGAATGATGCTGCTCCACAGTCAGAACTGGAGCTGCGGGCGCCGGACTGGGCAGCGTCTCCTCTCCCAGAGGTTTGGGAGGACTCAAAATCTCTCTGTGGCTCTTTAACTCTGCCTCTATAATGGATGGCTCCCAGCTCCCAGGGGCTCCAGAGGAAAGGGCTAATGCATGTGTTTTCGAGTGTGCCCATGCCCCCCTCGCTACTGGAAGTATTAATGACAGCATCCATTAGCAGGGATGACAGATCCCCTTTCAGTACAACAGAAGGCTCTCGAGTAACTGTCAAAATACCCTATGAAGAGGGGAAAGAACAGGTCCCCGTGGGCCCTCTTCTAATTAAGGATGGAGAGCAGGCCCAAATATCAGATGCAAAGCGCCTGCCCGCGCTTCAGAGAAGTTCAGAGTCGGGATCCTCGGCTCCGGGTCACAGCTTTAAGATGCCCCCAGGGTCCCAGCGCAGCCCCAGGTGCGATCTCGCAGCATCAGGCCCTCGGGCACAATCCGATCGCGGCACTTAGGTGATGAGACAATCAGGAACACGCAAAGCAGTATCCGAGAGGATTATTTCATCCAGTCTCTAATTGCGGACAAATACAGCGTCAGCACTGGTAGAAATTACTCTGTTACTCCCTTACGTGTTTGTCTGCCGCAGATCGTACCTGGAGCTCTCCCTGGTTATCGCACTCCTAATTTTTCACAAAGGAGTTAAAGCCCGGGCTGGGCTGGGACCCCATTCGGCAGACCAAACCAGCAGCATCTCCCCGTGCCCCGGCTCAGCCCGCAGAGCAGCACGTCTCATCTTTGGAAAGTTTCAGGACCAAATACATGTCTGTGTGTGCGAGGGGGATCTTGGAGCAGTGGGAGGGATGGACACGAGGAGGTGAGAAGAGAAAAACGATGTGAACGTTAAGGACCGGAGCAGATGTGGAGGTCGGGGTGGGAAAGAGGGAAGCCTCAGAGCCAGAGCCAGCGGCAGAAGTGGAGCTCAAAGCTCTAGTATACATCATAAATAATGAATCAATAACTAATTAAATAATTCAAATCAGCTTAATTTCTACAAGATACCGGCTTTGCGCGGCCGCAGGGAAGGAAGCCGCAGGGGGATGCCGGCAGAGGTGTTCCCGCAGAAGAGCATCGCGGCTCAGCCCCTTCTCCCCCCTGACCAGGTCTCAGCTCAGCCCTCAGCGCCGCTTCTTTAGGCGAAAGCACCCAGGAGAGGCAGGACACGGTTTGCTCTCCCTCGGACGCAGCATCCCTCTTTCATACAGCAGAAAGCGTGAAGCGCTGACAAAACCAGCAAGGCGGCAGAGGGGCAGGAGCAGCCCGGAGGAGCCGCCAGCCCCCCTGGAGGGTGGGTGGCCAACACCGCCCTCCCCGACCTCCTCACGCTGCCCGCTCCTTATTAAAAATAACAAAAATCCAACTTTCCCACGCTCTTTCCTATTTGTTTTAAAAGCGAGAGGAAAAACGAATAGAAGAGAGCAAAGCTGCAGCCAGGCGGTGCCCCTGTGGGCAGTCCCCGGGGCACGGGCAGAGGGGACGCGGGGCCGGCAGCGATGGAGGAAGGCTCTCACTGCCGCCGGCTGCAGGAACAGCTTCGGTGCGCGCTGCCTTTCGCAAACCCCGGGCATTGGAACACGCCGGTGAAGAAAACAAACTGCAGAGACTCGGAAAAGTCAACCTATTAATGAGTGCAGCGCTGGCATTGCCTGCAAGCCCACACCGCAGCGCTGCCTGCAAAACAGATCCCGCAGAAAGCTGGTCCTTGTCCCAAAGTGCTTACGCCGCGAGCACAAGACACGCGAGCGCGAAGCAGGCAGAGGGTGAAGGCAGGGGAACAATGAGGCAGTGTTAGCTGAAAGGCCGTGGGTTCAGGACACCATTTGGGGCATGATTCTCGTTGACATCAAGTGATTTCATGTGACCGACTCACTTCAGGGCTGCTGGAACAAACTGCGCGGAGCGGCTTTCGCGCCAATGCGTCTCGCGCCCTTCTCCGCTTTGTCCCCAAATCGCCTCCCTGTGACACCGCTCGGCCCTCTCCCGCCGGGTGCTGCCGTTTCTTTATGGCAGAGTCCCTCCTTCCCCGATGGGGACGATGCGGCAGG